GTTAACAGGAGTCAGCATAGCTTTGGAGTTCCACTGATTGGCTTTCACCAAGGACTGGGTCTGCAGGACGAAACCTTCTGCAGCATTACTTGGATCTTATTCTGGTGCAACTGCTTTCTCTGCGATTCACTGGCGCCTGAGCTACAGCTGTGTAGCTAAAAGGCAAAGCAGTGAGCCAGATTGTCCCACTACTTGTTGTTTTTAAATTGGTTTATCTGTACTGACTTCAGTGGATTTGCTGTTGAACTGCAGTAGCCTACTAAACAAGAGGACAATTGCATCCGTTGATTTTAATGGGAATTTTGTCTGCATGTATGGAGTCATGGCAGAATGCAAGATCTCGTTCTTTATTTTGGGACAGTGCTCTTTTTCTGGTTTAGTTTCTCATCCCAAAGATGCCCTCAATGCTGCACTCCTGATTTCTTAAGTTGGTTTTAGTAGAACTTTGAGATAAACCAGTGTATTTAATATATCTATAATAGCCAAAAGAAAAGCGCTTGAAAATTGTGTTCCTCTGAAGCCTTAGACACATAAGCACAGATTTGCTGGGGTTGTGTTTCATTGTCTGTAGAGAAACCCATGAGGTAGAATCTGAGAGTCAATGAGTCATTTCAGGCATTGGTGATACATCTACCAGGGACTCTCCTTCAGATTTCTCCCCAGATTACAAAACTTATCTGATCTGAATGCTGGAAAAAGGAGCAGTTACTTTGTCAGATTTGTCCCACAGATTTTCAGTCATACAAAACTTGAGCAATAGCTCTTTGCACCAGATATTTCAGGGTAACATCAGTTAAAACACATCAATAAAGACAGTTACGGTATGAAAAATAAAGGCAAAGTTTACTGGAGAGAAAGAAAAGCAGATTAAATGGGAAGAGGCCAAATAAGACAGAGCAAGCACAAGCCAAACTGAAAGAAAAATGATGAACAGAGTAACACAAAGAGTTTGAATGGATGGGGCTCTAATAAGGAGACCGACATAAAAGATTTAGTTGATGGGGCTTTTTTGCATGCTTATGAGAAAGCCAACACTGTAATCAGACTAAATTAGCATGCACAAGGCTGAAAAAGAATATTTAGTCACCTAACATGAATCTGAATGTAATAAAGAGTGACAATTCATCATTCAGTGCCAAGAATGATTTGCATCTCTACACAAGTGAGAAGACGATCAGTATAGGAAAAATAATAATTCTAGAGATCATACTGGGTGATAAACACGTTCCAACAATAACAATGCTTCATATATTTTTAATGTCGGAATCTGGCCACTTCACAATCAAAATAAGATATTCTGAGCTACAGCTCAATCTGGGAAGGCACTTCTGCCTTTTTCTGGTTGAAGCATTGTCAGCCGAGATGATGCATGTGTGTTTCTTGTCAGCCAAAGAGACGCACGCATGCCCACCCAAACAGAAACTCTAGATGTACTTTTCAAGAAACCCCTTAGTCAATCTCACAACACAGCCAAAAGCTGTTTAACACCTCTCTTACCTGCACAACAACCACCTGAATGGACACATGATCTGGGAGTCTGATTGGTGCTCGGAAATACTGTGATAATGCAACCAGAAGATGAAGTATTGCTACGAGACTTTTAGCATGAACAGCTGAAATAGATATTAAAAGCACAAGTCACAAACTGCAAAGTAACTATGGCACATAGTTTTACTTGTTAGGATGTAGGGATTATGGGACTCTCTTCTTCTTGCCACCTGGAGCCAGAGGCCACTTTTAAGGCATCTGGCCTTTACTGGTCTCCTCCTGCTCAACAGGTCATGTGAATGCAGCCAATTCAGTAACATGCGTCAGCACCAGTGTGTTACTTTTTGCAACACGTCTGGATGTCATAGGCTTGTGTAGATGGAAATACAAAGCTAATCCAAAAGCCAGATTTCATGTACAATGCCGTCTCTGCATTGTGCTTGCCTTTCCTTTATTCCCTTTATTTCAATAAGGATTTATGGACTATCAGAAAGATATTTTTGTACTCATAACATGCACTTATTCATTTTTAAGTGTCACAGTGTCTGCAGGATGATAAACGAGCCTATTTTGGCAGAAGCCTTAAGCAATAACTTACTAAACTCAATGACTCAAACATTCCTCATGAAGTTGTTATAGTTCTTGTTATTGAAGCTTTTTCACAGCAGGTTTCATATGGGTAGTTAACACTAACAGGACTTACAAGATATCAAAAGCCATACTTTAGGAAATCCTTAATCAATTATCAAACCATTGGCATGAAAGTGAATCATTTCTAATTCTTATTATTGCCTTTCTTCTATTTTGTTTTTGCATTTATAATCTTTCCCAGAGTAGTATTCCTATATGATCTTTGATAGCTACAGTATAGTGCACTTACATTTTTCGTACTTGAACTAACCAGTAACTACCACCTTACTTCACTGGTAAAGCAGGATCAGATTCACTAAAATACCCTTGTTCATTATCTTCCAATGCAAGTCTCAGCTATGTCACAGGGACACACATTCATATAAAATGCAGTATCGCTGTCAAATTCCAGCGGTCACGGATGATGTGCTTCAGCAGAACACTAAAAAGATGTCTGCCTGCTTAGCACTGGTGTGTGCTACAGCTGGCTCCAGCTGCTGCTATCTCTACTTTAGCTCTAAAACACATGTAAAACATTACATTAAAACTAGATGTTAAATTGTCAGACCACTCCTAACACCCTGCTTCCAGCTGCATAACACAGAATGGAAAAAACCTGGGGGGAGGTTGAAGAGAGATGGGGACAGAAAACTCGGTGGGATCACACAAAGGGGAAAGTCAGAGAGGCCTAATATTCACTCTTCCTCCCTCAAGCTATTTCTCTCCCTCTCACTAACTATTTGTGAATGAAATGGGACACAAAACAGCACAGCTCAAGACAGGTACAGGAGAAAGGGAAACTGCTATATACTGGTCAAGGTATTCACTGGCGTGAAATGATTCTGGATACCAAACTTAAAACAGATTAAGAGGTCTAATTTTCTAAAACTGATGATAATTTGCTTTCTGCAACACCTATGCACTAAAATGTCTTGTGTTGGGCCACTGAGGGCATTTCTATTAATTTTTAATACAATAAAACAGGAAAGGTACAGTCCTAATCTTGATGAGAGTTTTGTAATCAAAATCAGTGGTTCAGATTTAGCCTTAAATTATCAGAAATATTATTCATATCTGTGTTGCAAATTTCACACAGAGTCCTAGGACCTAACTCTCCTTCTGCCTATCTACTACATTTGGGCAGGTACTTGCCCGTTTCGACAAACCAATTTAGTAACAGAAAACTTAAGCTGGTATGCATACAGGCTTAAGAGCAGAAACACCATACTTTGACAGACTCTGTGTAAATTGGAGGTTGAGCACTAGTAAAGAGGGTAGAGTGTACCACATCTGGAAGTGCCCTGCAGAGGAGCTCCTACCATAAGGGTTTCAGCCTTCCCTTATCCTTGGATGTTTCGGAATTCCAGATAGCAGCTATAAACTCTCTAGTGTCAACAAATGAGAACAGCATAGAAAACACACAACTTACAGTCAACATTCCATTTAATGCTTCTTGGAGGGAGTTTAAGGGTTTCGTTGATCTTTTCAAGCACTGTCTGTAGCTTCTGTTTCTGAGCAATTTCAGACTGAGTAACTTCAGCAACATTCAGCTTCTCACTTTCAAGTTTCTCTGAAGTGATAATAGAAGAAAAAACAGAAGAAAAACCATTTGTCAACCCCATGAAGACCACAAAGTCATTCCATGCACCCAGATGTACATTCAAAAGATATTAGACTTGCTAGTTTTAAAATTACCTGGTTTTCTTTACAGAGTCACCTTCCCTCCACTTCTGTGCTCCTAAAGATACAGTTCATATTTTCCCTTTCTTTACCTATTGCCAAAGGGAAGGCCAAGTATTAATGAAAGCCACACTACTGGCTAACAAATATTTGCTGCAACTCCCTTTAGGGAACACTAGACTCAGAGGTAAGGCCCATTACTTCTATTGCTATTGGACAAAGGGTATTCTGTCTGCAAGTGGCTTGTACAGCAGACCATCAAACCTAGGGCACAGACACCAACTTTAAGAAGATTTTGTTAATCAGTCTCAGCCTCCTCACTTCTCTCTTAGACTCAGGAAATGTAAAAATTTTCCTTGGCCTGTTTGTGATAAAAGTGAAGTGACACCATATTCATACAGGCAGGGGATGCACCCAAGAAATGTGAACAAGTATTTCGGGAGGTAGGAAAACAACTAAAACCTTGGCAATTTCTTTCTATGAAACCACAGCCCTTTTCTGCACTCAAAATTTGCAGTAGACTTTAAAATACTCTATGAATTGGTTTGTTAATAATTAATACAGATTGCCAGGTATATACACACATGGTTTAGTGTTTACCACTAAACAGTAAGCAAAGAAAATTTAGCAGTAAAAGCTCCCTGGTAACACCACCAGAAACAAAATGTTTGGTCGCCTACCAGTTTAATTCTATCAAAGAATAGCTTATTAAGAGATATCTTAGTTGGTAAGAGCTGATCTTGTTCTTATCAAAGCCAAGTGAATATCTTCCCAAAGAGACTGGGCCTGAGCTATCAGCCTCTAAATCCTGCCTAAGAGACTGCTATCTCCATGGGTTTCTTGTGCCTCCACAGAGATCAGTCTCTGCATAGTCTCACAACAAGATCGAAGTTTTTAGTTACCACAGACCTGATCCACAAGGAATTAAAGGTAATGGAAAAGCTTCCACTGAAATCAATAAGTGCTGGATCAGTATATGCATATTTAGAGTCAGGCTGCATCTGATAGGCGTTTTTTGGGTTTTGGGCGAAGTCACTGGAGGTCTGCCCATGAGAATCAAATTGCTCAGTCTGGGGCATATCCAGTCCATCACAACATATTCAATAGCTTAACCATTCATAGAAGGGAATAGTCTGTGTAGTCTTTATTAGAAGTGCTCACATGATGTTTCAAGATTCATTTAAGATACCAAAAAGAAATTTACTGGAGACTTTATGAGCTGTAATAACTAAGAAAATGGCTTCCAAGCCAACAGTTAAAAAAGCACATGCCAGCTCTGCATTAGCTGTTTCTTTTCTCTATCTGTTTCTCAGCTGAAGCTCAGTTTGCAGTCCACTGGGTACCATTACCTCAGTAATGTTAAAAGCCAGACATCAAATCAGAAAGAAATTCCAACTTTCCAGAGGAACTTCACAATGTGAATAAACTATAGTATGGAACCAGCAGAGATTAAAAACATCCACCATTGTACTGAAAATACCTTGTCTTCAAACTTACTTTCCACTTGTAACACAGTTAAGTTTGTACAGCACATATGCAGATAGTAAATTTAATTGGAGTGAACACTGTTGCCAAGACAAGAACCCTCCCTCTCTAGCACCCCAGGTAGGCTTTATGCTGTTCTCATCAACTACAGAGCACCACACATTGCACTGTAGCTATAAGGATTGTGCGTATAGCCTATTGCTCAAGGGTCTCATAATACAATGCTATTTTTGTATCACTTAGTGGCATAAATGTAAGATGATACCACGGCTCCTAAGTAGGAACAAGTGATCGACTTACTGACAAAGTGCCCCAACAGTATGCGCATGTATTTTTTCTTACCAAATAATTTCTGCAATACTTGTCCATCATACAGGTCTTCAGCCAAGTCTTTCACAATAATCCTCTCTCCTACCAACACATCATTAATCCAGTCAATTAATACCTATATGGGAAACACAAATTTGGCAGTATTATACACTATTCATTTGCAATTTAAAACACATGTCATTTTGTACAATGATGAAAATATTTAGCAGAAAGAATACCAAAGGCAATGGCTCAAAACACAATCAGTCTGAAATACCATCAGAAGAAAACAGGAAGGACTTAGAAAGGACTCTTCTAAGGTGCCTGTGTCAATGCACCACAAAGTCTAGACAAATACCAGATTGATGGAGTGAAATCTGTCTTTTGCTTTCAGCAGTATTTTAACATTTCATTGTGAAGCAAAAAGTGTTCAAGTTGATTCTAGTGAAGCTTCTTACTAAAGTTCTAACTCCAAGAATCACAAAGACTATGAGGGAAGTCAGTGTGATCTCAGATTGGGGGTGGGATGGGACTAAGAATCTGGATTTAGGATTTTAATCCAAATTCTTAAATCTCTCTGTGCCATATCTAGAGAAAGATACTGCAACAAATTACATGCCCATTTCACTGGGATGTATGCACCATGTGATTTCATTTAATTAATATCTAAACAGTGCTTTGAAGTGTTCAAATGAAAGAGGTACGGATAGCATAAAAAAATAGTTTCAGTTTCCTGAAAGTGTTTACATGCTTTTCATTACCTTCATTAGTTCTTGTAATTTTGGGTCATTTCTTGAATTTGGATCAACCATTGTTCGGACTTCATTTTCCTCTAGAAGGTTTAAAAGAAAGATATTAGAAACTATTACAGGCATGACACTTTATTTTACATCAAGCTTTTATGTTGAGATGTAAAATTGTTGTGAATTACCTAGCATAGTGTCCTCGGGGTCTAGTTCAAATGGAATTGGACTGAGAGGTAAGTTAATGGCATTTATTCCTTCTTCCTGTAATTCGGATACTAGGAAATAAAAAAGAACAGCTTGGTCAAATTTCAATTCAATTTTACTTACTCTTTCACTGTTGCTAAAAGTAGCATTAATTGTCTTAACTTCTTTATAAGAACATGACTCTATTAGATAAGCCACTAGGTGTAACTACAGCAATAAAATATAGCTAACAAAAATGGGATGCCCAGCCACCAAATCTTTACTTGCATGAGTAGATTTCTCATGGATAATGGTATTGGAATCAATGCAATTTCCTCAAATCTTTTCCAGGATAAGGCCCATTGTCCTCAAATTTTAAAAGGCTCACTTGCATTTTCATAGTCCTGACATTTTAACACTGATGAATCATTTTAGCTCAGGGAAATGGTTATTGCTCTCAGCTATGTCACCCTTGCTCTGGAGATGCTTCAAGTTTAGCTACTTGAGAAGAGCTGGGTCTGGCTATATATCCACACAGGAGCTGCCAGACTGATAAACGATTTCGGACTGAAGGTGCAGTGCAGCACACGGCTACCTCCATTGTTCAGGTCACAGACTAGCTAGAGCAGACTGTGCGATGCTTCTGGCCTCTGTTCTAGGCCTTTCTTTAGCAGAAAACATGGCAGCAGCACACAGGTGTAAGAGATGATGAACCCTCAAAAGTACTGCCTTAGTGTGGAGTCCACACATAGGTTGAGAAGAAACTTGGGACGTGGGAATGGGGAAGTAATCCAAGATGCCAGAGTTCAGAGATGCACACAGTTGTCAGGAAATACGGACAAGTTCTTACTCAGCCAAAGTCCCCTAATGCTGCAAAAAATCAATGTTCTTGTAATACATGCTCCGAGAACATAGGAACAGAAAGATCCAAAGAAGAAGTGTAAAAGCAGCCCTGCCACTAGCTCTGTACTATGCAGGTTCTGTATCTCGTACAGTTCAGAGCAACTTCATCATTCCTTTGGGTCACCCAAACTTCAACAGGTTGCAAAGACAAAACTCTTTCTTCACTGCCCAAACAAGCCTCCATAACAGAAGAAAATAAATACAAACAAGCCAATACACTAATCTTACTGCTATGAAAGAACACATAGCACTGTGCAGGGAGGGTACCCACTTCAGTGATCAGACAAATTTGTATCTTGCTTTGTAACCAAGAAATCAGTGCAAATCTGATTTACCAAACCAGGAAAAAGGCTCGCTGTCTTATGAATGACAAGTAAATAATGTTGTTTTGACCACCCATTTTCCAGTGTACAGACCTTTAATAGAACTGGTTGTTAGCACAACCGTTCCTGTTAGAGTTTAAACCTAAATAACCTAATTCAACCATCCAACATGTGTCCTAAAGATTCAGGTAGCTGTATACACCTTCTGACACAAACTAAAATACAAGATTTATGTGCAGATGCAGATTCACCATCTAACATTTCAGATTTACTACCCGAAGCTTTCCCCAGTGTATTTTGAAAATTACAGAAACAATTTAGGTTCAGAGAAAACAGAAAAGGAGAGTGTGACAGTAGAGATCTGGTGTTTTGTTCCTGGCCCTCCGACTGCCTTGTAAGTTAGCTTTTGGAAATCAGTTTTACCTCTCTGCCTTAACTTCCTTTACTTCCTATGTGCACTAAGTACAGCTAAGTTTCACATGAACACTGTGATAATTAGTCAGTTGGTGTGATAACAGTACTTAAAACTTTCCAAATACTTTCTATGCTTTGTGAAATGTTTTGTGCTCTGCCAGATGAAATGCCTATGCACATTTCAAGAGTCTGTGTAGCTGTATTCAGGCATCTATGTACAATTCATAGCAATAATGGCTGTTAGAATGCTTATTACTTTTAATGTACAAAAATAACTCTGAAAAATCCACTACCTTCAATACTGAAACACTAACTTCATTCAATACACTCACCCTGCTTGTGTATCTGTAAAATACAAATACTGAGCAGCTCTAAAGAGTCATAAAATAATGTTGACAATAATAGTTCCCTCGATTCCTGTATATCCTCTAAAACTGATGGCTGAGAGCAATGGACCAAATTAATCCCTCATGTAACTCCATTGAGTTCTGAGGAGTTACAGCAAGGATGAATTTGGTCTAGCATGTACAATCTTAGGAACTGTTTACACTTAATGGCAATTTTTTGAACTGCTAGCACTCCTTAGAGAAAATCATTGTTGGTTTTATTAACCTCTTTGATTTTTTTTTTTTTTTCCATTTTGGTTCAAAATGGTTATGGCCATAAAAATGTCAGTGGATAGAAAACTTCCATGTGGAGGTCCTTCTGTTCTGAAATGTTTAGTTCATGGAGAACTTCCGCACAAAGTTTCCTAGGCAGAAAACATTTTTTTCACATCAATCCCAAGAGGGAACATAGCAAATAAAATCTGTTCAAGTCAACTGGCTCCACTGAGCTCTCCTATCGTGAAGGGCTGGATGCTCTGCTTGGACAAGACACATTGGAGGAAGCAGTCAGTTCATTTTCCGAGTGAAGGACAGTGGGGAAAGCTTTTGGCTCCTCTCTCTAGGGAGTAACCCGCTAGCAGAGCTTGCTGACACTTTACAAGGCGTTCTTTACAAGGCCCACTGAGCCTCCCATTATTTGTCCTCCAATGTGCACAACTATTACATTCTACTTTTAATAACACGACCTTCATCATATCAGCAGTTTCTGAAAGTAAAAGAGAACAAACAAAAAGCCATCATATCTTTGCATGGAAAGAGAACAAAAAATACAAATAAAGTAATAATAAATATACATGAGAAACTAATATATTAATCTGTTCTAGAATGCATTGCAAGTGTTATATTTATTGTACAGCAGGGGCTGAGTCCTGCTCTGTTGTACACAGGGATACACAAGTGGTGATCTTGTTCCCCCAGGCAGCTCACCCATATCGCATATACTTCTCATACCTGCCCTAGCCATGTGCAGAACCTACCCAACGCGCGTCCGGACAATCCAGAGATCCCAGATGGATCCAGTCTGCCAGACAGGACAGCTTCTCCTCAGCCACTGCATTCTGCAGTGCATAACCCATGCCTAAGATTGGTATTAGTCCCCTAATAAAGACTCCTCCTGCCTTCTTGTCCCTTACAAGTAGAAAATGTGATGGAGAAACCCTAAGCCTGATAGCATCTTTTTCATTTCTTTCCCAATACTGAAGAGAAAACTCCAGATTAATAACACTACTAAAAGGAGCAGGTAAGAACACATGCATTATATTAAGTTGTACATAAAGGGAGAGAAAATGTATTATGCAGTATAGGCTCACTTTCTAAGAATTTCCATCAAAAAAGTTCCATGACAAACCACTATTATACACTTAGGTGTTTATAGAGGAACCACAAAAATGTGATTGACGCTAAGAGTTTGCATACCACAGTTTCAGCAGAGGAATCCATTTTCAGCTGCTTTTCATTAACTTGTTTTAATTAATTTTCGTGAAAATCACTGCAGCAATTTAGTATTTTAATAAAAACAAAACACACAGGTTTGGGACAATTTTTGCAGCAGCTGAAATTAAAATTAAATCATATAATTTCTTGAAATACTTTGAGGAATGACTTGGAGCATCACTAAGACCTCCACTCTGAGTCTTAAAGCATTAAGGCCCAGGAAGGGAGGAGGGGACATAGTTGCAGCAGTTCATCTATACCACACCAGTTGCCAGGAGCCAGACCAGTGCACTGGGACCTGTGGCAGCTCCTCTGAAGGACAGTATCCACAGACTTGTCTGCTTAACATCAGGCATGCTTGGCCACTGGACGAACCCAGCAATCAGAGTTAAGAGCACCTTTCTGTTCTCACCCTCTGCTGCAGCCCAGATACAGCCCAGTGCATCGGCTACAATGGGGCTTGTTCTCATCATGCTTATATTGGCATGATTAGGGACTTAATCTTTTTGGACATGAGAGGAAAATCCAGTCCTTGGCGGTTTTTTTACAGTCACCATGCTTCGTGGAACTGGGGGTTAAAGCAAGACCCTTAAAAGCAACAGTAACACGTGGGTCAGACATATCTCTGTGGATTGGCAGTGTGAAAACCCCAGTTTTAACTCTGGATAAGGAACGGACACTTCTGCTCAGATTTCTGATTCAGCTCCACATGCCGAATTTGTTATGATGTAATCAAGTGCAACTCCACTGCTATCAGCTGTCAACAGACTTCCTCCTATCATGCCAGCACCAAATTTGGCCCCAGAGCTGGGGAGCCCACAAGCTTGTATCAACAGCAACTACAGCAGCTATTTTAAGCTGGATGGAGTTCTTACTGTTTTAGATGCTCTAGGATTGCAAGGTCATAAACCTATGCTATCAAATCCATGCGGGTGCTCTGAGCCAGACTTTGCCCTTTGATGCGTGCGTCCAACTGCCATTGAAACCGTTGGACGCCGAGCACATCTGAAAGTGGAGTACTGCCCATACGGTTTAAATTGGCTTAATTCCTCTAGTACATGCAGCTTGTTGCTCCACATTGTATTTATTAGACAGTTTCATTTGGGTTTTTTACTTGTTTATTTTGTGTGCTGAAGGCTTTTTGCTGCCCTGTTTAGTATTCAGGGCTTAATGTGCTTCTGATTTGAACAAAACACATCTTATTATTTAACTGAGCTCAGAAATGCCACATCACCCAATGCACTCTCTGTGGTTTAGATGTATTTTAGCATATCTATCCAAAGAATGGTAAAATAAATACAGCAAGATGTGGTGTTAAATGGCTCTCCTCTGAGTGCTACAGCTATGTCTTTCCATATAATTGATTCCGTACTTACAAAACTAAAATTACTCAAGTTCTACAACACCAACAGATCAATTCGGAAAGTTTCTGATTAACTAGAACTGAACCCTAATGTTGGAGGAGGACATTGACACAACGCTTCTAACCTCAGTCTTTCAAAACCAGGAGACTTAAATACCTGCATGTACACTTACATAAATATATATGTACACACACTTCTGCATTTCTTTAAGTGCCTTCCTTTAACGTAAGCGTTTTCCATTCAAGGTCGTCTTTGCCATTTTTAAGGTTGTAAATACTTTGGTTTGGGTTTTTTCTGTTTTGTTTTGTGTTTTTTTTTTTTGTGGAAGCTGAGATTTGTTAACATTCACATGACTCCAGGACTTTAAGCTTTCTGTGAAAAGTCAAAGGACAAACTACCTGATATTGTAAACTACTATGGTAGACAGTAGCTCTACCCGTCTCTGTCTTAAGCTACTCATGTGTCTATCTTAAGCTACTCTTTCCTGAAACAAGCATAACTTGGAAGGCTAGCTGTAGACATCATATTGCCAGAGTAACACTGGATATTTGTATACACATCCACATTCAAAGATGCATGCTTATGCTACATATGCTTACTTATGTAGCCAGTAATTACAGCCAGTTTAGAAAAATGCTGATTTTCAATAAGAAATGTCTTTATTGCTCTTGTATGAGACAGAGCTATTGACTTAATTATATTTGAGCCAAATTTAGATGAATCGCTTTTGGTTTTGTGTTCTCTTTACTGGGTGCAAATTTCTGATAAATGCTTATGACCTTAATGCCTTGCTTTCATAACCACTTGTGCACAAGCGCAGCTTAACTTGTACTGACTTGATAGTCTGTGATGCAGGCTTGAGTGTAAATGACTGTACTTGCACAGATTTCAGTGGATTTATGCTGTTTTACACCAGCTCACTGGCTCAGTGTGACTCCTATTCCCCCTCACATACTCCAGTTTTATACCCTGATATAATTCCGGTGGAGTCATTCTGAATTTCTACTGGCAAATGTGAAAAGAGATCCAAATTACCTAAGATGGTCACAGAATGACAGAAAAAAACCAGCAAAAGTATTTTCAAAAAGTCCTAGTTTAAGTTTTTACAGAATGACACTATTTAGTCAAGCAAACTTATGCAATTGCTTTCTGAGCCATCCATCCAAAATGGTATTTTCTAATGCTTGTGTGTGTGCATCTTATAAGTCCACAAAGGGAAAAGAAAATATTAATCTAAAATGGCACTGTCTAATTTTCTTGGATACATAATTTATCCAATATGGATTCTGGCAGCTCAGTTTTAACTCTGAAACAAAAGAAATCCACACAAAAGACAATAAATCTGCATTACACATGGTACTAAAATGATCCAATAGATTTATAGATGTTTACAAGTTTGCAGAGTGTGACACAGCGTCCACCAGAAATTTTATATTCACAGCACAAAACATCATAAACATATGTCTGCAGCTACAAAGGGGCTTTTTTATGTGGGGATCATTGTTAAAATTGTCTTCAGAACATAAACCTTAAGTTGTAAATGCTACTCCCCATTTATTCTCCAAGACATAACAAATGAGGAAAGAAAAGCAGAGATATGTTTGTAATTGAAAATGTTTCTCAGGAAATGATCTGTACAGGAACATCATTCTCATTCCATTAACTGCTGACTCCAAGCCAACCATTTGTAAAAGTAAATAAATATGCAAACTGGCTGACAACAATGTGCCTGCCTTTAATGTTATTACATTAGTACCCAGTCTCCAAAAAAGAATCTATTTTCTTTTCTCATTTCTCCATTAAACCAAACATGGCATACACACAAAAAGAATGGGAGAACTGCTGTTTGCAAAAAAGAATGGGAGAAATGTTATAATTTAATTTTCATGTATGCAATACAAATTAAATGCTTATTGCCTTGAACTTTCTTTAAAGTCCAAAGCTACTCTGAAATACCTCAGTGACTAGCTTGCTGTTCCTTTCTTTTTTGCAATTAGCAGGGAAAAAAACCCTCTACAGACTGACAGATCTCTAGTCTGAGTAGGTAAAAAACAACAACAAAACAGGGAGCCAACTCAATTCTTTTACAGAGTACACGTGATTTTCTTTGCCATGTCACAAGTAGCTTCATTAAGCCTTACATACTTTCACAGTTCATTTGGGTTGAAGGTTCTGTTTCAGAATTTTCCTGTAGTTTCTAAGAGGTAACAAGTGGTGCAGTGTCAAGCTAACTCACATACCAGTCATTCCATTCATTCCTTCAACACATCCTCTCAACACATCTTTTAAAATACATAAGCAGTTTCTGCAGATGTTTTGAAAAGCCTATCACCCTATAGGAGTGTTTAAAATACCACTGAAAAAAACCAAAAGACAGCATTGGGAACAAATACAGACAGGAGTTCAAATGATGCCGATCTTTTCCCCCACTGAAGAACAAGCCATGCATATGAAAAATGCTGTGACCATTCCAAGTTCTTATCAAAATGTGCTGTGTTGAATCTGATCCCAGCCTGAAAACTCCTTGAACAGCCTCAGATACGTTGGTAGGGTCTTTGTGCAAAAGATACTACAGGTTGTTAGCTGGTCTGCACATGGTATCCCTAAATGCAAAATATTTTATTGAAACAAATCCTTTGACAGGTAAGATTTCCAATTTATTGAGAGATCTCAAAACTGCTTTATTGAGATATCTCAGAACTACATGGAGTGCTTGAGGCTACACAGAGACACAAGGCAGACCATCTGTATCCTCCTCACCAGTATTTCTCAAGTGGTAACAAATCTGCAGGTAGCAACATCCAGAAGAGTTAAGACAGACCTCTTGGTGTAGACCGAAACCAAAGCAAGTGGAGGCAATTGTTCATCCTATATGCTCAGCAGCTTGCTGCAAGAGTTTTTTTCCAAATACTGCGGGGAAGCTGATGTTATAGGACTGACTTCCCTCATTCTCTGAATCACCAAGCAGCTAACAGCAGCTATTCCAACATCAACAAGAGGCGCTCATGCAGAAAAGACAAAACCAAAGATCTGTTCCAAGAAGTCTTTCCCAGCTCAACAAGTTCTAACTATTCCTAAGAGAAAACACAAATATAGTTCTTAGGAATGTCAGGGCACACTAGTAGCAAGCTGA